ATTGAGAAATCATATAATTTAATTAGTATTGATCAAGAATTAATTTGGAATTAATTTAGTGATCAAAAGAGATTAATTAAATTAATAGGGACTAATTGTGTAAATTACTTATATATATATATATATATATATATATATATATATATATATATATATATATATATATATATATATATATATATATATATGGTTTGGGCTTATTATACATGATGGACTAAGTTTATGAAAGAATCCGAGCATGTGAGACCATACAAACCGAGCATCAACGAATGATCACGAGCTTCTCAAACTCCAAATTGATCACCAAAAGTTGAGCATAAAAACCCAACCCGAAAATCTTCAATAAAACCAAACCCATTTCGGAAGTAAATCACTTCCGAACTTCCACTTGCATCATTTCATAAGCTTCAAAAATTTCAAGATCACTTCGGTCTTGAAATCCGCGTAATATGAAAAATTCAAGTTCGAATTTCCATATAAATTTCTCCCCCTTTTTATAATCGAAATTTGATTATAAAAGTTTCAAGGAAAGAGAACGTGCTCTATTCAGAATTTTTTGTATCAAAACTCCTCCTTAACATGTGGCATAACCTTTGTGCTTCCATCCGGAAACTCCAAAAAATATTCAATTTTTAGCTTCGTTTACGGATCGCTTTTGACAAAATTTCTCAAAATGGGTAGAAGTTGTCAATTTCAAAATTCTACAGTGATCCGTTGTGCCCAAAACAACAAAATATGCAAAAATATCCCCCTTTTCCAAAGCTAGGTAGAAAGCGTCAATTTTCATAAACTGTAGAGGACAGAGGCCTAAAATGCATTTTCTTCAAAATCTCAGCACAATTAATCCTTTTTCAAATTTGGGTACAAACTGCCAATCTTACGAAAGTTGCAGGGGCTATTTTCAAAAATTCACATTTTTCATTCCAAACATACGAAAGTCTTAGCCTTCATACGAAACTTTGCATATTGTAGGTGATTTTCGAAACTTTTCATCCATTTGACTTTAAAGCATACGAAACTACTTTCGACTTCGTACGAAACTTTAGGGGCCATTTACGAAACTTTGGATTTCTTCTTTTTAATTCATACGAATCCTACTTCTTCCCAATTCGTACGAAATTATATCAATGTACGAAACTTCATCTTCCCATTTTCTCTTCGTATGAAATCCTCCATCATTTTAACGAAATTAATTGCTTCACTTCGTTGATTCTGCACAACCCATTTTAACGAATTTTTGTTCTTCATCACTTCGTTAGTTCCACTGAATCGACAATCGTTGCCTTCCCAAAATCAAATTTTCGCATATAAACACATTCGCCTCTTCAATTCACGAACACAGTAAAGCTTCGTTTCGTTAGTTCAAGTTTTCAGTTCATCGATTCCAAAATTTACCTGTTAACCACAAACCCAAAACTGAAATCAACTGTCGAGACCTTTCTGTTCACCATCAATCATCTTCCCTAACAATACGCATTAACGAAATCACAGTTTTCGTTCAAACATCCAAAAATTTCATCCGAATCCAATAAACCCATTCCACCTTAAACATCGACTTGGTTATTCTCGCCGTATTCAAAACTCAATATCAATATCATCATAAAATCGATTTAGTTTTCCAATTAAACCAACAATCTTCAGTTCCATTTTCGAATCCAATATCACCTATAAGCAATGAATTCGACAGTAACACCAATCCATGATTCGCAACCCAATTGAACATTCGTTTCCAATGTATTCGATCAAAAACGATATCAACTCTTCAATCAATCGACATCAAAATCAAAACAAATACGACTTCACGACTCAAAATCAAGCAGATTTCTTCTACGATCAGTCACCATTTGCTTTCAATACCATCTTACTTTCCAGTCGATACCAAGCAACAAACGAAAATCAACCTTTTGAAAATTTGATCATTTGCAAAACCAAACTCGATCTTTCTTTATTTGTATCTTCTTCTTTTTCTTCTTCAAAATAAATCGATTCCAAATCAATATCAACAATCTACATCTCAATTAGCAAAAGACTTCAGTCAAATGTCGACTGATTCTAAAATCAAAAATCAATTTCGAGCTCCAAGTGACCATTAAAACTGATCGCGATTAGAACTCAAAAATCATTCAACTTCGTCAAATCGTCATTAACATCAAATGAGTTTGACATCCAAGAACATGAATTTTGACTTTTTAGTTTGACTGTTCGATTTCAGATGTGAAATCGATTCAAACTTCACAATAATCGACTTCAAAACAACTTTCAAACTTCATTCATCAATAATCATATAAGAATAACGATTAGAATATGATTTTGATGTTCAATTTGAATCGATATTCAAACGATTTCAAAATAAAACCAGTCAAAATCGAATTTAACTTATATTAACCACAAATTCAGTCGAAATCGATTTTAAGCAAAGATTAAGATTTGATCGAAGAGATGTTTGATTCACAGTGAAAGAAAATGAGACACATGAACTCGATCTAAAAGAAAGCCACGGAGGTACAAACCCTTAAAGCGTATGATAAAGTTAACACAATTAGCGTCTATTATGAATCGGAAGGAATTTATCATCTCTCGGGCTTAACATTGAATTCATAAACAATTTAATTTTGGGCTGATCAAACTGATGAACAGTGAAAAGATCATAAAATTGGGCTTGAAAGTTAGATCATGAACAGTAACGCCGAAAGATTAATGTTTGGGCTCGATATTTTTGGATCAAAAGAACAATAACGAAATTTATTTTGATTTTAGGCTTGATCTAAAAAAGATTATTAGATTATCAAAGGGGTTTGAAACAAATTTAATCCAATGAATCAAAACGATCAAAAATCAAGAACGCTATGCACAAATTCAATGAAATTAAGATACATCATAGAGAGAGACTCACCAAAATTGCTCCAATTGTGACAGATTTTTCCAAACCGAGAATCGTTCTTCAAAAGTCACGTTGATCGTGAAAACCAAGCTCTGATACCAATTGTAGTGACATAAGAACATGGTTTGGCATGCGGAATTAAAGTTTGCACAATGAACATGGTGATTTGGGTGTTCAAGAGATATATTGATTATATATGGTGTTACAAAAAGGGATCTAGATGTAGTCTACATAAATAACACACTTACACACTCAACTTTTACATCTCTCTAGCACACCTCTACAAGTGAACTAAACTCACCTTATATAGAGGTGTTTATATGTCTCTCTCTCACTCTCACTAACTCATGAGTTAAAAGGCTAATGCACCACATGCAAGTGGGTTTTACAAAAGTCAACATATTATAAAGTCAAACATGAATAACTTTGCACCCTAACAAGAACCCTTAATTCAATAAAAAGGCTTGAAGCATCACTTTTACCATTATACCCATGGACTCCTAAGCACAAACTGAAATCTTGTCTCACACAACCTATATAATCCACACCCAATTGGGTCTAAAACCCAAATCGTTTGAAGTCCAAGGCCTTAACTGGATCCATTAATGCCTATAATTCCAATAATTGGAATGTTACAGTTTTTCAACTTGGACAAGTTAATAAACAATATGATTAAATTTAATTTGAACTTAATCATAAATCATGAACTCAGTTACATAAGCATAACAAAATCAATACCAATACTCATGGATCTTTAACTGAGCATTAACACAACAAATTACATAAATCTCAATAACCATATATCAATCAATCAATCATTATAAGATTTCATAAATATCAAATAATCATAAAGGGTTTAATCCCAAATCTTTAAAAGAGCACATAGGAGATCAAAAAGTTGACTAATTGTAGACAAAAAGTAAATAGATTGATAACTAATGATTTCTTCTCTTGATCTTCATATTTCTGCATCTATATCAGCCTGCCGACTGATATAACCATCCAGACTCTCAAAAAAACCTTCTCTGGATGTCTCCTTTTGCATTCTTCCGTATCTTCTGATTGATTACCCTTATTGATGAAGTAGGGATTCTATTTATAGCTTTTCAAAACCGACCCGAATCTCGGCGCGACAAAATATTCGCGGCGTGATTTGCGTATATTAGGAAATATCCTTGAAATCTTCACTAATTATGGAATTATCATTAATTAAATTTTGCTTAGTCTTCAAGCTACAAGTTTGCTCCAAAATATGTCTTTTTATCTTCATAACCCTTTCCGTATTTAACTCCAACTTTATTGCACCGAATTCAAACCCGGTTCTGGACAAGATAAAATTTGAATTAGAAAAAAGGCCCTCATACATGAGTTGTAGGAATTTTGTCTATTTTCCAAAACATATTTATGTTGGTTAAGATATGGCTCAAACACTACAAAAGGGTCCATTAACGAATTTTATAATTTAGTAAAAAAATTTCTGTTTTGCTCAAACTCATCAATTTAGCTCAATATTAGCTCATTTTCACTCCTTTTCATCAACATGGACTTTTACGTACAAAATATAAATATAAAATAATTAAAAACCTTTGCCCTATTTTAATTATAAAAATAGCCATAAAATGTCTATAAAACATGTATAATTTAGCACATATGAATCCTAATATCCTCAAGCATTATTATGATGGGGTTTTCCTTGCATGAACAAATTATACCATTTGATTCTCTATGAAATTCCATTTTCTATTCATGTATTTGTGTCATGAAAATGTGTCAGCCACGAATTTAACACAATATAATTACACGATGAGAAATAAGCTTTATCTTAATTTTCAAGATGTATTTGTGTCTTGTATTCGTGTCATGTCGTGTCTCTCACAGATTCATATATTTGTGTCTCGAATTGTCAGGTCTACTTCTGGTATTACCTCATCCCGCATCCAATCAAACAAAGGCTCGTTAACTTGATCAACATAAATAGATATTGTATTGCCACTTGTATACCCATAATAAAAAATATGATGTACTCCACTTCATCTTAAAGCTTTCTTAATCCCTAAGATAGCAACTAAGCGCGAACACAATAATACAAAGACTCACATCGATCCTTAATCACCTTCATATGCACATCCTTCAAATCTTCGATAGGCAAAGCTTTGTAGTTGAAAATTGGAACTGTATCAATCGTACTCTACATAGCATAGAGGATTGGGTATGAACACCCCATGAAAGTGGATATCGACGGAAAACTCTGATTTTCCTTCTCCTTCGGTCTTCATTACGAAAATGATTGATTTCAAGGGTTTCTAGGATTTGGTTCATTTTAGAAGATCATGAGTGTACTTTCCTTTCCAACTATAGTCAAGAATGACACTAATTAGGATTAGCCAAAAACGTTGGTTTTCAAACCATTAGATGATGATGATTTCGTCTAATTAAAATTTTTATTTCTTTTAAATTTCAATCAATATGTCAAGTCAATGTCACATCATATAAGCAAAAAAAAGAAAAAAAAAAAGAACAGATCGAAAGTAAGTCATAAAGACAAAATGGAAACAAAAATAAAAATGTAACATCTTAGTTGTCACGTTTTAAACTTATATGGTTAAATAATGACATTTTTTAACATTCTATGGTAATATAATCATATTAGAGTTTCCTTTTTCACCTAAATTGAAGCATAAAAAATAATAGAGAATCGAATTTTCTTGAATATTTAATTAAATTTTCAACACAGTAACAATATCTTATAAATTTATATTTTATATGATCATATAATGTTTAGATTTTTGATCAAATATTATTATTGGAGAAATAAAAAATCCTCCTACTTAGAAAAAAAAAAAAAAAACACTTGCCGGATATATGTAAGAAAGGAGTAATAATAACGACAGCTTCACGAGTTGTTCACATCCTATACTATTTTAGAAGCTCCACTCTCCCATCCGATTCTATCTCTGTTTTAAATGGCCAGTTTCTCCCTCACTTTTCCGGCAGCTTCTCCCACCTCCGGCAAACCTCACTGACTACTTTTTTGTCCTGTCTCCTCTGTTCACCACAAGCGACAACACTCTGCAATTTTGTGAACAGTTCCTGTCAATCCAACATATAATTATATAAGCACACTTGAATTGTTTCAAACTACTGTAGATGATTATGATGACGACGATGAAGACGTTATCAAAACGAAGCTATTGACAGAAGATAAACTGACGATCGCCTGGAAATTTTCAGAAAATTCATCGGTAAGCGTTTCTTAATTGAATTTGAAGATCCATAAGTCAAATACACAAAGTTACGACTGATGAACAGATAAATTTACTCTGTTTCTGCTTTAACTTTTCGCTGTGTATAATCAATCAATTCTCCTTTTCTTCAATGGCGCTGTGGCGTAGCTCTTGGTGTTCTATACCTATACAATAAATGCGATGAAATTTAGATAAACAAAGAGTAATTAGGTTTTACAGAGTTGACTTCTTCATATGTGGTTAGGATCCAATTGATTTTTTTTTTCCCTCTTTTCGTTTCAACACACACATATATGCAATTCAAACGCTACGAAATTCATCTTTCTTCTTGTTTACCCTTTTGGATCTATGATTATTTCGATTCTTTCCGTGTCTTTGTATCCCTTTTCGCTTGAGTAATCTGTAATCGTATATTCGTATCTATTTTTTTGTTTTGCAGTACGTATTGTTATATCTGAAGAACAATAAAGACACAAGCGTTTGATTTTGTGTAAGGTAACGTACTGAATAATTTTAGTTTGTTTATTTCTTCATGTTGGGATCTGCTTTGAATTTTATTAGTATATGAATTGCTAGATCTTGTAAAGTACTGTTTCGTTTGGTTGCATACATCCAAACCCTATGTTTTGGGGTTTTCCATCCACTATTATTAATTTTTTATTTGAATTAAATTAAAAAAAAAAGGTTCTAAAAGTATTCAATTCAAGTATTTAATCTAAACAGTTTAGCTGTTTAATCCAATCCAATTAATTAATTAATTAGTTGTCTTTAGTCTCAATGTTCAAATTTTTTTGGTAAGCTACGTAAATCCTTATCATGTTTTGTTTATGTATATTAGTAGTGACTTGATCTTTATTATAATGGTTTGGTAAGTCAAGTGAATATAATATCATGTTTGTCGTTGTATAGTTTGTTTTTTAGCATATAATTTGTTTGTCACCTATTATTTTATATATAAATTTAACCTCACACTTTATTTGACATATGGCACTATATATCTAATAATAGGTAGCTTCTCCTTTTGCAATGAAGGTGAATTCATGTCTTGCAAGTTCTCCAAACCTTTCTGAACCACATGAAATGAATTCTGGTAAAAAAAGAAAAATTAATTTTATAATTCCATCTCATTTTATATGAATATGACATCATTTTTTTTTTTTTGTCAAAGATGAAATAAAGGCAACCATGAAAGAGAGTGATAAAAGATATACAAATCCCTTTTTATCTGATCAAGAGAATGATAAACTCAACTTATGGAACAATAAAGAAGATGAAGATTCAATCAATGAAGACAATTTCACCGATAATCTTGAAGATGAAAATTTCAAAAAGGCGAAAGAGGTGTACATTGATAAAAAGGTGACAGAGTTCATGGCATGTTATGAAGAGAGTGCTTTTCATGTTGTTAAGGATATTTGTGTGGATAACGGATTGTCTCACGATGAAAAGACTGAAATCGACAAGAAAGATCATGAGTTATCATGTGAACATAATACTGATACTGATATTGAGACTGAGACTGTTACTGTTAATGGAGATAAACATGATGATATGAGCGAAGATTGTTACAAGAACACCGATTTATGTTCTGTAACCAAAGATAAACAAGATACTGACTTTCTTATCCAGAAGCATAGTAATGAAGACATGATTGAAGGAAACTTTGATAAAGATATTTCTAGTCAAAATTCATCAAAAGGAGAAGATGATATAAAAGAATGTGGAAACAAGGAAGAAGTTGAGAATGTGTCTGAAGATGATAATGATTTGAAATCTTTTGTGGAATCTAATATTATCCAGACCACAGAAAATTGTATTCATGAGGTTTTTTCAGACACACAGAGTGCACCTAACGACAACATGGCTTCAGCTAACATCATGTCGGCTAACCGGTTGCACCGTGGTGGTGGTGGGGAGACAAGTTTTTCATTGGTGGGCCCTGTTTCGGGACGGATAACATATTGTGGTAGCATATCTCATCGATCAGATAGTAGCAACACTAGCGTCAGATCCTTTGCCTTTCCCATGTAAGCTTGCTGACACTGGCACTGACACTGCTGATACTGATACTACTGATATTGATACTGATACTGACATTGAAATGTATAATGATTCTTGTTTTGTGTTTGCAGACTACAGACGGAGTGGAATAGTAGTCCTGTAAGGATGGTAAAAGTGGAGCAGAGAGGGTTACGGAAGCATCGGGGATGGAGGCAGGTGCTTATGTGCTGTAAATTCTAATTAAGAGTATTTGGTTTTAATTATAAGTTGTTGGTTTAGTATACAAGATCAAAATCTTAGACTAGTTTCGGTAAATATATACAAAATCCACATGGATTAGTGGTTTTAGGGATGTTGTTCATGTTTGTGGTTTGTGTTTAGTTATTTAGATGATTGGAAGTTGTCGTTTAATTTATTTGTGAGATTGTTTTATTTGTATTCTCTTTGTGAAAATTGATAGGAGGTAGGTAGTCGGTTAACTAGGGTCTATGGAGTATTCGGTTGAGCTGGAGATTAATCAGGACCTTAAATAACCATAAAAAAATTATATTATAAAATTCAACATTTATTATAATGAGGGGGGAGATAGAGAGACGCATGTGAAAGGGATGATGTTGTTTGAAACCATGTTGCGATTAGGTGCAAATAGGGGTGTGCAGAATTAACCGATCCTATTGGAACTAACCAATCCAATTACGAACCGATCGATTGGATTGGATATCCAATTACAAATGGACCCAACTAGATTTGATCGCTTATTGAATCATCATGAGAATCCAATGGATAATCGAATCAAACCGGCCTAATTTTAATCCAATAAATTGTTGGTGATTTGTTATCATCAATGTTATTTAAGTGTAGTGGGATTACTTTGTTGACCAAAAGTAATCTTGATAAATATTAAACAAGGAAGGTGTGGAGTACACACTTGTTTAAGTTTGATCAAGTATCAAAGTACACTGTCATTTAGGGGTGAAGCCCTAGAAAGAACGGAGGTCCGGTGGCAGTGCCCCTGGGAGCGGGGTCCAAGAGGCGGTAGCCCTTGGCTTTTAGAAATCCGGTTTTTTAAATAATTGACCTAATTTTGACTTTTACTCAGTTGACCCGTTTTATGACCATTTTGGTGGTTTTGTGACAGTTTTAAACTGTCATATGATAGTTTTCAGACAAAGATCTAAATTCAGTTTTGGTCTCATTTCTAGTACTCACGAAATTATATCCTCTCATTCTCTTTCTTTCTCTCTGATTTAATCCGAGTCTTATCCAATTGAGGATTTGGGAGTACCACCCAAATACTTCGATTAGAAAGTGATTATCACGATTCTCAGATTTCCAAGTGCCACTAAACCATATTTCCTACAATAATCGAAGTAATCTTTGATCATGGCAAGTGGTGATTCCGTAAAGGATATGACAAGCAAGTTTGACAAATTGAACAAGTTTGAAGGGCAAGATTTTCGTAGATGGAAGAAGAAGATGCACTTTCTTCTTACCACTCTGAAAGTGGTGTATGTTCTGAGTACACGCATGCCAGTCTTACCAGAATCTGTTGAAGATGAACCTTTGGAGGCAACAAGAAGAAGATCAAAGTCGGAAAATGATGATTACATATGTCGTGGTCATATTCTCAATGGTATGTCTGACTCTTTTTTTTATATCTATCAAAATCTCGAATCTGCAAAAGAACTATGGGATTCTCTTGAATCCAAGTATATGGCTGAAGATGCTTCTAGCAAGAAGTTTCTTGTCAGTAACTTTATGGGTTACAAGATGATTGACTCCGGGCCTGTTATGGAACAATTCGATGAAATGTTAAGGATCCTGGGACAGTTTGCTCAACACAATCTGAAAATGGATGAAGCCATTGCTATGACTGTGATCATTGACAAACTGCCCCCTTCCTGGAAGGATTTTAAACACAATCTGAAACATAACAAAGAGGGATTGACTTTAACTCAACTTGGAAGCCATTTACAGATTAAAGAGTCCTTAAGGACTCAAGAACTTGATAACAATCCCAAAGGTAAGAACCAAGTTGGTTCCTCTTCTGTGAACATGGTGGATGGAGAAGGATCAAAGAATCAAAAGAAGTCTAATGGAAAAAGGAAGTTTAAAGGAAAGGATGATAAGTCTTCCAACAAGAAGGCTAAAGTGGTGTGTTGGAATTGTAACAAACCTGGTCACTTCAAGAAAGATTGTCGTTTGCGTAAAGTGAACAAGGATGGAGTAACAGCCCGGAATTTCAGGTATTTCTTTAAATTATTTTTGGGGCACATTTAGGAGGGGACTCGGCGAGTTGGTGCCTGACTCGCCGAGTAGGACCACGGTCTTGGTCACAGATACGCGACTGGACTCGACGAGTCCAATAGGGACTCGGCGAGTCGACGCTGTTCAGCTGAAACCCTAGCCGTTTTGATTCTGAATCGTATATAATGTCTTTAGGGCCGTCATGTCTCGTCTTTTGGCCGATTGAAGATATCTTAGGAGTCTGTGGGCATCTGGAGCAAGGGTGAGGGCTAGTGGAAGCTTGAAGAGGTTGTTAGACAAGGAGAGGCAAGGTGGTGATCAAAGGAGGTTCAAGGGGTCGAGTTCTGAAGGTTGGGGACACAGGGAACACGTTTCCAGGTAATCTTCGGATCATATCTGTAGCTTTTACGTTGTATGCGAATTTAGGGTTTAGGAAACCCATTTAAGGAATTGATAGATTATAGTGTTGTTACAAGTGTTTAAACCCCTGTAATAGTATATGTGAAGGTCCAGGAAGCCCCATATCTATATATTACGGAATCATGCGAGTTACAGGAGGCAGCGGATTGACTGCATGGCGAGGACTCGCCGAGTCCAATGATCAGACTCGGCGAGTAGCTTGAAGATTCACTAGGACTCGCCGAGTTGTTCTTCAGACTCGGCGAGTAGCTTGAAGACCTACTGGAACTCGTCGAGTCGTTCTTTAGACTCGGCGAGTGGAGTCGGGGTGTCTAGACTCGCCGAGTTGCCTTTGCACTCGACGAGTCCGGTCAAGTTGACCGTTGACCTGTATGTAATTTAGTAGGGTCAGTTGTCTTGTTTGATAAGATCATTAATAAAGGTATGTGGTATTATAGGGAGCCTGCAGATTAGCGGATCGAGTGCGAGTAGCTCGAAGGGTTTATAGCTTGCATACTACGAGGTGAGTCTCCTCACTATACTTCACCCGTAAGGGTTTGACTGCGTGACCGGAAGGTTGTATATGTTATATTTATGCTATGTCTAGAGAGGTAGATGCTTTATATGTGATGTATGCTTATATGTGATGTATGCTTATACGGGCCGGAAGGCGTGACTTTATGTGATAGAAAGAACGGTATGATGTATGACTTATGTGTTATGTGTGATATGTTATATGTGTTTGTTTTATACTATTATGGGCCGGAAGGCAAAATACTATGGGCCGGAAGGCAATGTAATACGGGCCGGAAGGCGATATGTTATGGGCCGGAAGGCGATTATGTTACGGGCCGGAAGGCAATGTTATGTGGACCGAAAGGTCCGGGCCGGAAGGCGTATGTGGGTAAGTCGTATACTGGGGAACTCACTAAGCATTTATGCTTACTAGTTGTGTTTATGTTTTTCAGGTACTAGCGATGACCGTGGGAAGGCGCCGGCGTGACACGTACACACTGCCATTGTTGAAGATCTTGAGGATTTATTATTTATACTTTTGCAATAAACTTGGAATAAACTCTTTTGTCGAATAATGATGTTTTATTTTAAATGAAAAATTTATTTGAAAATTTGAGCTGTTACAATTGGTATCAGAGCCTTGGTTTGAGGGATTCGGGTGTACTTTCGGGTGCAACTGAACTCAGACCGGGGATTTGAGGAAAAACCTTTTTAAATAATAAGGACACAACATTTCATAAATGGTAAGGCGGTAAAACAAGAATGGAGCAGTGTGTACGATCAGCCAGCGCCCGAACGGTAAAGATCCCCAGAATACCTTACAATGTTATATTATGCACTGAATTATGAATTGTTATGCATGCTAGAAGACTAGGTATACATGATAGGACTAGAATGGCCTGTTTTGTGATGCCTTGTCTAGGGAGATTGCTTATATGGGATATTTGGTAGCGTGCAAGTAGATAGTGCATACTAGAGGTAGAGTACTCATTATTCGGGATTTGGGGAGGAAGATTTGGGACGAATACTGATACGGTGTGGTCGGTAGTATTGGGCCCGTACTACCGAAGACACCGGATCAGTGGAAGACCCAAGTAAGAATCCCTGGAAATCGGAGACTGAGTAGGGCGCGTATCGAGTACCATTGTACTTGGTGGAGTCTCTGATGATTTTATGTTGTATTTCAGAGACATCATGGTCATCACACGCAATGGGGCGAGTTCGAGCGGTGCGAGTGACGAGGAGATTCGTCAGATTATTCAGGAAGAGGTAGCTGCGGCGGTTCGGGCTGAGATCCCGGAGATGTTTGGGTCTATTAAGACCACTCTGATGGAGGAGTTTGAGGAGCGGTACGCCGCACTTACTGAAGCTGCAGTTGCTGCCGCTACCGCAGCTGTGGCTGCTGCTAGGCCGCAAGGGGGTGATTCATTACTATTCAGGGAATTCAGCAACACGAAACCCCCTGAATTTGATGGGACGCAGGATCCGATTGCGGCTATGAGGTGGATCGCCGACATCGAGGGGTGCTTCTATACTTGCTCATGCCCGGAGCACTTGAGGGTACGGTTCGCCTTGAACCAGCTCCGTCTGGGAGCGAAGGATTGGTGGAAGTTCGTGACGGCGAACTTCACTCAGGCAGAGATTTCAGCGGTGACATGGGAGAGGTTTACGGAGATGTTCAGGGACGAGTACGTTCCCCCGGTGGAGAGGGAGCGATTGATTCAGGAGTTCTTGACCCTTAAGCAGGGTACTGATTCCGTGGCAGTGATCACACGGAAGTTTCATGAGAGGGCAATGTTCTGCCCCGAGCTGGTATCTACGGAGCAGTCGCGGATGAGCCGGTATTTGGGCGTTTTGAAGAGGGAGATCCGGGAGTTTGTGTCAAACTCCACCTATCGTACTTTCACTGAGCTTCAGGCGAACGCCAGGAAGCGCGAGATCGAGTTGGAGACTCAGGCGAGGGAGGAGGCTGAGTCTCGGCAGGTGGATCGACGGCCGGCTCAGTCTCAGCCGGCAGCCAAGCGGACTAAGTTCGCTGATTCGAGGATGGGAGGTCCGAAGGGTCGCACTTGCGCGAAGTGCGGCAGGAGTCACGAGGGGGTGTGTCGAGCTGGTGGTTGCTACAAGTGTGGCAAGGAGGGACATATTGCCAGGGATTGCCCTAAGGGGTTTATGGTTTGCTTTCACTGCAACCAGACAGGCCATCGGAAGGCCGAGTGTCCGCAACTTCGTCAGGGAGCTACACCTACTACCAGGACTACTGAGACCCGAC